TCTCCGAATAACACCGTTTCAGATTGCCAAACGCCCCATCTTTGAGCAACACCCCAACCAACGGAAGACTTCACCAAAATCGAACAAATTAACACAAAATTTTCCACTGAGACAATCAAACAAACAGTTGGAGTGCAGAAAGAAATATGAAAACTGAATCTTCAGTTCCTGAGTGAAAAAGCCTAGAGATCACACCGAAAATCAGCAACCATTCAAGATAGCACATCAGAAGTAGCAATGACCAATATTCTTGAATCCAAATATCACAAATCAGAACTCCAATTTGGGAAAAAATAAGGCATGGCCATGGATGGCAGCAACATGGAGGATTTGGCCATCAGGTGCTTCGTCTCCATCAAGACCATGCTCAGTGACGAGTTCCAAGGCCAAGTTATCACCTTCGATCGCCTCTCCAACATTGTCATCATTTAAGAGAGTTCGAAAAAAAAAAAACAGAAGTTGTCATACTTGGGTCAGGTGGAAGACCCGCTCGATATCAAAAAGTGTTATCTTGATGTCAATAGTCTCCTGGCCAGGGAGGAACTGGCAATTAGGCAAGCAAAGGCGAAGTCGGAGCGGATTGCCAAGAAGTTACAGGACGATCATGGAAGCACCGAAGAAAATCTAATGAAAAACAGAACCACCAGAATCCATTGCGTGAGCCTGGTGGCTCTGATACCATGTTAACCTATGAATCTATGAAAGATTGAAGAAAGAAACAATGACAGAAAGATGAACAAGGAAAGAAGATGAAGGAAATGCTCTCTGTATTTATCACAATAGTCGAATACAACTCAACAGAAAATGATCTCCACAACTTCCTTTTATAGTCATTAGGCCTATTGCAAAAGACCCAAATACCCTCACTAACAACCTCTAACTAACTCAATCATATGTTTATAAACATAAGCATGGAAAACTTATATGATTGGAATAAGTTGACTAAGTAAGGGTTCGGAGCATTGGACCGATCACTATAGCTTGAAAGGGAAGTTGACCGCTGAGGATGTGCCAATAGTGCAATTAAGCAGCAAACATCTGTTGTTGGTCATGGAGGAAATAGCACCCAAGCCTGGGTTGATATAATCACAAAAACTTTTGTGTCTTTAATTGTAAGAGAAAAGGACATCAAAGAGCATGATGGACATCTGGGCATGTATGTACCGTTGTTGGATATATATGTGAACTCCTATTGGAATTGAAGAGGAAATGACCACATTATTATTTGACGTGAACAAGGTAGGTCTATCTCTCTGCAGGCCGAAGCAAATGAAGTGACCCTACTTTCATTTCATTATTAATGGATTGTGAAGAAAGTTGATATTTCTCGTGGTACTAATTGATAAAAGAAGAGTAATTTAATTACTTATAAGGATTTATAAGGATATATACGGTTTTTTTTCTTCTTTTTTTAATGGGTGAGTGATTTACTACCAACACGTTTTTTCCGTGTAGTGAATTTTTAAATCTAGTACGTGGATAACACAAATTAAATGATGTAAAGCATGTATGGCTGTTTAGGTTTACACATAAGATAACCTATTCTTATCTTAATATAGCTCAATTATTTATAAATGAATAGAAAGTTTCGCATTTTTTTCGATATGAGATTCATGCTCTTATTGTACACATGAGACACTAGCTATAGCTAGCTTTCACCATCGGCACCAATCTCACCCACCCATTGTGTGAGCAGATCCTTATCTTCACTTCGTACGAAGATATCTAATCGTTGTCCTTGAAACAACTATATAAAAAGACCTACCCTCCCTATCACGGCTTAAATCAAGTTTTCATGCCTTTTGGCCATCTTATATGGTCGTCATCCCCGTAACGTCTTTCTAATGTAGATGTTATTACTGGTCCGTGGGTGCCTGGGAGGGGGCAGGGTGTATAGTAGATATATACATAACATTTTTTTTTTTTTTGGGAAAATAAGTTGTACGATAACATGCAAGTTGATGTTTTCTACGGGTATGGGATACACTGATGTTTCAAGGCTAGATTGCGATCGTTTAAAACAACATGACTAAGTGATTGATAATTTTATACTTCTACTCGTAGAGGAAAATCATGGTAGAAGTCTCCAACATTCATCAGGAAATGACATAAAAAACAACATGACTAGAATGATCGATAACCTAGCTTTTTCTCAGTATACGCGTCCGGGAAAAGTTTATGATCCTCAATCGCTATCTAATTTGAAGAAAGTGGAAATAAGTTAATACTTGGAAATTTGGAATTCTTAGTTACGTCATGTTCAACCTACTGAATTAAGATCTTAAAACTGGGTTAACACAAAAGCAAGAATTGAGAATTATAACATATCAATCTGATCAAATTAATTAATGGGGCTGGAGTTTTTGATGCGTTGGAATATGCAATGGAAGGATCAACAAACGTTTAGATCAAACAACAGAAATTGATTGGCCACTTAGTACTATGGTCTAGTAGTATTCCTCTTCACTTCTAAGTTAGAGGTCATAAGTTTGATTTTCATCAAAATCGAGTTTAAACCATATTATTGCTAGCCCATTATGAGGCTAAACTCATCCCTCTCCTTAGTATAGATAAAAAGGAAAACTCTAGCTAACTTTATAAATTAATTTACATAAGTTGTACAAGTGTCAAAACTTGGATAGAGGCTGGATTGGATACAACACGTATTTGCTCCGAGTGTTTCTTTAGGTCTCAGTTTCACAAAATAGCTCGAGAGAAAGAGAGATTATCCTCTTTACACATTATCCTCACTAGGTGATCTAAGCAACCAACACTTAACACTTTTCGTTGTTCCAATGTCCATTCGATTTCGTGCATCAACAACTTTGTTCATTATTTTCTGCATCACTTTGATAAGTTATTGCCACACCAACTTTTTTTTTTAACTGAAATATTCAATTCATTGATAAGAGAAAGAGGGAAGTACACGGCGGCATCAACGTCTACGACCTACAATCCTTAAAGTAAAATTCAAATTTTAGGTTCTAAACCTATCCCAACTTGCTCAAACCCTTGAGTCAAATATAAGTTTTAACCCAAAACTCATTTTGGGGTAAATTTAGGCCAAAATTCCTCCCATGTTAGTGGGTTGACCCACTATATATGTGTATTTTTTTTAGTTTGATATTTATAAATTTATTGAATCCAACGGCTAAGATCTAATATGATTAAATTTAACGGTAAAGAAAAAGATATAATGGTCCAAATTTAAATCCAACGGCTAAAATAATTAAAAAAAAAATTATTTCATGTGTTTCATATTCTTTTATAGTATTCCACGAGTTTTATAGTGTAGGTTTAGTGATTTTCCAATATCTATAGGAATCTAAATATTTTGAGGTTAAAATGTTCATAAAATTAATTATGATAGTCTAAATAATTTTTTTTTAAAGTTACTTTAAGAATTCTAAATTCATTATTTAATAACCTCGGACTAAAATTAACCCAGAAGGGTTGGAGTAGAAAACATATTTCTAGGTTAAAACTTTTAAGTTTTAACTCAAAGATTGAAGATGGTCTCAAGTCTAAACACAATTACAATCTTCAACTATATAGTAAATTTTTATGAAACATGCCAATGTCGCTTTTAATTTAAATGACATCCATGCCTGAGAGCATTTTCACCCGTCTGATGGATTTGAGTTTAGAAATAGGTGTGGTAGTTACTATTCACTTATATAGTAAATTTTTTTTGGCTTCTCTTTATCACTTTCTACCTATTATAAACAGTGACTGTCATGACAGTTACTATTTACTAATTATTCAACGAATGAGATTAATTTTGAATAAGTTGTTGCGATTATGTTACACTCCATCAATTGTAAATAGTAACTACCACGAACTCGGGGCTAGATTTGTCATGGCAGCTGCAAAGGCTGGCTGGCTTGGAGGAGTGGGTGGAATGGGTTTTGAAGTGGATTTTGGATTTGGCCATGGCAAAATTTCATGGGTGGAAATGCTCCGATGGTTTAGTTAGGCTAACACATTCCACTAGCTAGGGAAACACCCCAAATGAACCCTACTTGTTTTCCACCGATCCTCCTTTTACTTTCCACCTTATATGATACTTAAAAAGAGGGTGAAAGCGACCCTAGATGGGATATTCAAAAAGCATACCTTCCTCGACAACACTACTTGCTACCTCTATAGCTGGGTAAAGGACAAAAGCATGTGCAAGCTTTAGCAATTTCCATATACAAAGCCACCACATCCAGCAGCTTGCAAAACCTAAAGATTCATTAGTTTTTTCTTTTCCAAGCAAATAGAAAGCTTTGATCGTTTGCATGCTTAATATTTGTATGACAAATACAGAATATATGTTTGTACAGGCTATTTATGCAAAGGGATTTTTATTTTTTTTTCAAAAAGTAGGAACTAGGTGTGGGGTCCACTCCACATCGAACTTCAACGATCTGAACCGTGTAGTTTGTAAGTCTCGATTCATAGATCATCCTTACAAAAATTAAATTCAATCCAAAATTTTTTGCCTATTTAATTATAAAGATAAAATTTCATTGTTTCTTATATAACAAAGTATTCGTTAATTTTTTTTTTTTAAACCCAACTAGATGTCTTAAATATTTCTGATTTGGTTAATATTTTGGAAGAATGATCTATAAGGTGCAATTTGAAAAATAAATAGTTCAGATTGTTAAAATTCGATGTCGTGTGGACCCTACAACTAATCTCCATTTTTATTAAAAAAAAATAAAAATAAGAATCATTTCCCTTAAAAGATTCATCTGTTTGTAATGGTCATAATGAATTAGGCTCCCTTTTAAGTACGGACCCAAGAGTATATGTTAGATTAATTTGTCAACAATGGAGAAACTTTTGTGTATACACGATTTTTGTGATACGTAATGAATTAGAGAGAATACGTGTTATATTAACACCAATAAAAATTAACTTATTAAAATTAAAACACCATTTCATAAAAAGCTTACGCCAAAATTGAAGTTTACTTTTTAATTTTCAAATTCTACGAGAGGCATTATCTAGTTGGGGAATGATTTATATAGTCTTTTTTTTTTTCTCTCTTACTTTTTTTTTATAAGAATTTTTTATTCCTCTTACACATTCCTTTATTTTGACTTTTAAATTGAATAAATAAATAAAAATTAAGTCACAAAAATTATCTGAACCATGTAGGAAGAGAAAAAATGTGCTTGGAAATTATTATCTAGGCTGGGGTATTGCCTAACCTAACCCTAGTTAATTAAACATGGTCTTGCTCTTTTCTGGAAATTTTAACGGGTCTAAAAGTTGGGTTGTCAAATTTCCCATCAGTTTTGGCTCGGCATGGTCTTTCCACATTAAGTGGCACAAACCCACATATTTTGCGCCTTACAAGTCCGGTGACACATCACCCTCAATGAAACCCAAAATTTGGAATCCGGATTCTTTTTGTGAAGATTCCGAAAATTTATAAATTGTGTTTGTTCATCGTATATTATGCAATTAGTTTTTCTCATGTACTGTTTGTATTCAATTTTAAATAATAAAATTTTAAATAATTTTTTATCATACAATATACGATAGATGGACAAAATACGTAGATTCTCGGGATCCTCATCAAGAAGATCCGTAGAGGATCCTTATTCCAAATATTGTAGCTTCAAGACTCTGCCCAAGAAACAGTACACCGGAGGAAAAAAAAAAAAACAAAAAAAAACAAGATAAAAGAAGAACAACAGAAACAACCAAAAACCCATCTTTCAGATGTCTCCAACGCAAACAAAACAGTCCCCCACTTATTAGTGCTTCCGTGTTTATATATCCGATACTATGCATCTTTCACAGCAGAGCTCACTCCCCTTGATCTTCTTTTTAAGAACACAGATGGATCTGAAGTTGCAGTGAGAAAGTGAGTCTGAAAGAGAAGTCTTGAGAAGTTCAATGGGTATGAAGAAGCTCTCTTTGCCTGTTCGAAATTAGGATAATTTCTTTCTAGTGTTCAAAAGAAGAAGAGGCTCTCTTAACAAAGGTATTATATTGTAGAAGGACTGCCTGACGGCCTGAGGAAAAAGAAATCATGTTTTCATCTTCCAGTTATAATAGTAATACTGTAAGTCCTTTTCAACATAACTTTCCCTTTTCTTCTTCTTCTTCTTCAAATTACCCTCCTCCTCCTCCTCCTCCTTGTGCAAACCTAGAAACCTGCACTGGACACACTTTCCTTCATCACATTCCTGATCCCCTCTCTGGTCAATTTTCACACCAAAATATTGCTTTATTGGCGCCTCCTTCTCATCAAACCCTAACCCATTTGGGAGTTTCATCAAACACCGTGCCTGGTAGTATAAACTCCAACATATCATCATCTTGTGGAGATCATCATCATCATCAGTACTACCATAGTAACTATGGTAGCATTAGTAATGATAATATTATTCCTTATTTTCTTCACTCTTCTGGGGAAGATGTAGTGGTAGCACCGGCCGCGACGAAGAAAGACCGGCACAGTAAGATCTTCACCGCTCAGGGTTTGAGGGACCGTAGGGTAAGGCTGTCCCTCAACGTTGCCCGTCAGTTCTTTGACCTCCAAGACCAGCTAGGGCTTGACAGGGCAAGTAAAACCATCGAGTGGCTACTAAAAAAGTCCAGAAAGGCCATCAGGGATCTCGGAACACAGAAGAAGAACTTGAGCTGCAGTTCTGAGCGGTCCAAGAGTTTGTCTTCCACTTCCGAGTGCGACGAGGTTGTTTCGGACATAAACGAGGTGGAAAACCATGTATTGAGCAAAGAAAAAGAGATGGTGATGATGAAGAAGTTGAAAGAATCTAAATCTGCCGGAGCTTATGTTGCGAAAGAGTTGAGGGCAAAGGCAAGAGCAAAGGCAAGGGAAAGGACAAGAGAGAAAAAGATGTGCACTACTAGTAGGAGGCCTCATCAGATGTTGAACCAATTGAACTTAATGATTGAGCAGCTTGATGATCACGAAACAAACATCTCATCCTCGTCGAAGGTTAATTTTGGAGATCATCGTGTGAATCAAGAACTGGGATCCCTCTTGGCCAAACAAGCTCATCACCATCATCGTCACGAGGAGGATCAATCTGCTTTGATCAAAAGAAACAAAATGAAGTCATTTTCATCAGTAGTTTCCGATTATAATACTACTGATCAGATTTCCAGCAATGGCCACCTCCAATTTCCCAATGCATCTCAAAATTGGGACATCAATGGCGCTTTCCCCATGCCCTAGCATTAATTGTGCCATCGCCACCATCAATCTTAATTTCCACTGGTAAACATATACACATATATATTGCAGCCATGCTTCTCTTTAATTATTTATTTTTCGATTCCAGATTTAATGATTAAGATTTCAATCTGCAGGAACTGAAATCTTGGGAGGCTTAATTGTGGAATTATCCGGCGAATTTATTGATTATCTTCCAAATCATTAACTTCGATCAAAGAAGTAAGCTCTATTTTTGTTCATGTATTTCTTTGAATGCTCATTAATATAACTATTGAGTCACCTGTTCCACTGTTTTACAGCTCCTCAAGAGTTACCATAATGACTAATACTGATGACATTGATGAGATATTTGTTGATTAGTTATAACGTGTTTTTTTTTGTTTGTTTTGTTTTAACTTATGATGTAAACATTTCTGTTCTAATTTAAAAAGGGTACAATTTAAGTGGGGATAGATATGCTATAAACAATCAAACTCACCACATAGGGTATATATTCATGTTCTGACAATTAGTATCTGATTTAACTAGTGATATCTTCAAAGAAAAGGATCAGTGCCGGGAGATACTTGATGAACAGGGTTTATGCTTGCTGTAATGAGATTCACCATGATCAATATTGCATGATAGTTGTTCCCTGTTTGATAAAAAATAAATATCACCTGATAGTTGTTCCCTGTTTGATAAATATTACATGATACTTGTTCCCTGTTTGATATTTGTCATGGATTTCACACAATTAATCTTTACTCTAACAACCATAAAATTAGAGATGGATGCCTATCGAATTATGGTTTCTTTTCCAAGGTGAAAAGGTTTATAGCAGATTTATGGGATGAGGAATGTGAAATTTCTATTCCCCTTTGTTTCTGGTTTTATTTCCTCCTTCCTAGCTTGTTATGTTGAAGGCTCCTTGGAAATTAAGCAAGACTGTTTTAATTTCACTGTTAAAAAATATAGCGATTGAAGGATTTAAGGTTATTATTTATACGAATAATAGCAATCTCATAAAAGTAAGCCAGATTTCCATAGAAATAGTTAATACTTGCTGCTAGGTTAGTTGTGCAGATTTGCATGCACGTTCTTGGCTAATTTCAATATCTTGAATTTCACAGTAATGTATAAGGCTATAGCTTCTTGTCGATCGAATTGATATGGATATATTAGTATTCAACAGCTAGCCTGATGGACTATTGCACAAGGTGTGTGATGAACATGTTTATGCTTTGATTAAGAAGTTTGTGGAAGAATAATCAAACAAATCTTGGTAAACAATATAGTCAAGGTCCAAGGATAATGATGCCCTCACCGAATTTTGTTCTTTATGAATTGTGTAAAAAAATTTATTCAAGATAAAGGAGAAAACTTGGCAAAAACGGTGGCCCTGGCAATAGTTTTCTTTTTCATTGGCTGGGAAATCTTTGGTGTTGTAATAGTTCAAAACACAATTTTTAATCCACTTATAAAGCTGTAGCTTTACTTGTAGTATTTACACAAGGTAACACCTACTCTTTAATCTGCACATAAGAAAAGGAAAAAAAAAAAAAACTACTTATTCGGAATAAGTTAATCCTGTGCGGAGAATTAGATACTGTTCTTCCTGATGTTTACATATATATATGCATTTATTTTGAAGATCGACGATGTTTCCTGTTTTCTCTTCCTGGAGCTGGTTATGTTGTCTATATTTCTATTGTGAAATGCATTAAAATACGCACACAGAAATACAACATTTATGTTTAGAAGTTATAATGTACGTACATAGTATTTCAATGGGGCAATTTTATTAAATTCATGGTCCTATATTCAATCGCTCCGTAAGGAAATTGCTAAATCTCTAATTATATGTTACACACGTACATACATGGAGATATTTCCACTAGCAATATCACGTGCAGTAAGAGGTTTACCAAGATATTTTGAAGTTTGATCTCTGTATCATGATATGGGAACACAACCTAATTTTAGTTCGTACTAGTTTAGCTTGAAGTTAAATTGCCAGAGAAACTGAAAAGAAGTGTAGATAAGAGGATCATGAAAATCGTTTAACCGTGCATGTATCTGTCTTCCCATCTACCCTAGCTTCCCCTGTCCTTCCTTCCCCTCTTTCTCAAGCTAGCTATCCCTAGATATTTAGGAAGTATGTCATCTAATTATTTATTTTTAGATCTGACTGTCTACAGTGAGTGAATAGATAGCACTTCTAAGAAGTAAGAGAGTAGTGGTCACCAAGTTAGTGTATTTTTCTTCACTAGTAAATCAAATATCTCATGTTTGACTGATTATAGATGGCAAGTTCAAAATATAATAATCAACTCATTGTGTGACTTTTCCTAAATCTCCATTCTTAGTATATCATTGTTCTAATGTTATGGAGATCACATTTTTGTATCACATTTGTTTACCATTTTATATGACAAGTGATCTGTACATGTCAATTAATGAGTTTATCTCTTTGGATTTTTGTTGTATACATCATTTGCCACATCATATAATATACTAATATGGTGTCTATATATGATTTCTCTAGAATTACTCTTTTATCATATATGTACTAGTATTTGCCTACACATTTTTTGTGTATGAACACATTTTTTTTAGACAATGAGAAGGTGAGAGGGAGAGAGAGAACGTGGGAGGAGTGGGAGGTTTTTTTTTTTTGGTTTTTTTTTAAAATATTAGAGGTATTTTAACATCACCTGTAGGTGAGGGTTCAACAAAAAAAAGGGTGTGCTATCCACACACCCCTTGATAATTTCTATCCGTTGATCTTCTTCAATTCATCAGATCCGATGGCCAAAAATTAAAAAGGTATGTGAGAAGTAAAATAAGATGTGTGGATATCATGTCTGTAAAAAAAAAAAAAAAAAAAGTAAAATTTGGACATATAAAATTACATTATTGCCCATCATTTTTTTTTTTTTGTGTGATAGATTACTAAATAGTTTTTTCATCATTTTTTGGTTGACAAAAAGGGTTTCATTAATTAATAGAGATTAAAAACTATGGTTGATCATGGTTGCTACTTCGAAAGAGAACATTAACTACTCTCTAGTTATACGTGTACTAGTATATGCCTCCACACAAAGTGTGAAATTTTTTACTTTTGTTGTTAAAATCGAAGGAGAGGGTAAGAGAATGAGAGAGAACTTAGTGAGGAGAGAGAGGTTTATTTATTTATTTATTTATTTATTTATTTATTAGAAATGATAACATTACAAGTATGTGAGGTTTAAAAAAAAAAAAAACAAAATTTTACCTTGTGAAATTACATTATTGTCTTTAACATTTTTGGTGTAATAGAAGACAAAGATGTCTTTTCATCATCTTTTAGTTGACAAATAGAGTTTTATTAATGTAGTTTTAGATATGCTTATTCGAGTGTCTTGCAGTTTCGCCACAAATGAATCTTTAAGGGGTTGTTTAATAATATTTTCCCTTTTATTTTTATTTTTTTAACTGAAAACTTGTTCAAAACTACTTTTAGTTTTTGAAAGAAAATTGTTATTAGCATTCCAAAAATCTCATTCTACACTCCAAACTTTCTACATTAGGAAAGAAAAATACACTAGTGAAAAATGTAGAATGAGATTTTTGGAGTGTCAATAATACATCCCTTTTGAAAAACTAAAAGCTACTTTTGTCAATTTTCAAAAATCTAAAAGCTACTTTGTTTAGATTTCAAATTTTAGCTTAATTTTTGTTTCTAATTTTCATGAAAATATTTGTCAAACAAGTTTTCAGAGAACTTAAAAACAAAAAATTGAAAACTGAGTGCCCGTTTTCATTTAATAACCATGTCATTTTTGTTATTGGTTTTATTGTTGTCTTAGATTAGATATACAATGGGAGAAATGAGAGATAAAAAATAAAGAAAGTATGGTGGGAGAGATGTAGAAGACATGTAGAAAAAATACACCGAAATAAGATCTAAGAACAAAAAAACTATTCTAATTTTTTTCACCTTCAAAATTTTGTTTTAATTTCTTCATTTCTCTCTTGCCACCTTTGTTCATAGTAACATTGGAAATTAAATATCGTCACCAAAGACCAGACAGATCAAAAGACATGGCCATGATTTGAGGTAACTGGGTGAAGATAGCAGAAAAAGATAGAACCAAGTTCAGTTCGAATCTTAGTAGAAAAAAAAAAACGGAACAATTTCACCCAAAAAATAACGATATACATGTGGAAAGCTACCTGAAACTGAGAGAGCCTTCATATGATTCATGCAAGAACAGCCATTGGAGTTAATCAGAGACCTAGCTTCTCTGCCCTCTCAGTTCTTATACACTCTCATCCCTTCTTATTTACGGTTAAATCACGTCAATATTTTATATTAATATTGTTTTTTGTTTTATAAAAAAATCAATATAAAATGTTAATGTAGCTTAACCGTGATCCTACAAAATAGGAGACGATGGAATTTTATGGGAACTGAAAGGACTGAGAAGCCGGGTCCGTTAATCAGAGAGTGAGGTACATGGAATAGTGGAAGTGACGGCCAGCGATGAACTGAAGTAATTCTTTCCTTTTAGTTTCTCTCTCTCTCTCTGGATATATGTTCGATATTTGTTCAGAGATTTGTGCAGGAGATAATCATATTATAGTTTCTGCTCTGTGTGTGAATAAAAGGGTTGCGGATTGAAGCCCTGTTGAAGTAATATTAGAAAATATGAAAATAACACATGAATTTCATTAATAATAATTATAAAGAAATTCACAACATTAATTTATGTATGAGATTAATATAAACAACTAGAGAGAAAGTTAAAAAAACTAACAAACTTAAAGATTGAGGCTTGCATAAAAAACTGACAAACTTGGAGATTGAGGCTTATATAAATGCAATGTCCTAAAGACAAAATTTCATTCATACTGCTTGTAGTTCGGTAGGTATCTGTCTCTCAGGATTCAACAATTTATAATCTGAAGTCAAAGCACTTTAATTTTCGAACTCTGGCAAACTTCATATATTCTGTACTCTCAGGACACGACTTGAATTTTGACTAACAAAGAATAAAAGACATTGGAGAAAACTCTTTTCTTTGATCCATTGGATATGTGGGATGTTTGAGTTTATATATAACTCAAGTCACCTTTTTTGAAACATTATGACTATTGCTTAAAGTTCCAACGAACAGACGTAATTCATGAATTTGAATTCAACTATGACACATGACTCTTATTTTTCATTTATATAAAAATTAAATATTATAATATTAATTATAATATATAATTTTCAACGGCTTCAAGCCACTCCTTCGATCGGTTGGGCATGGCAATACGTAATGCACACTGACAGTACTGGTAGTTCGGCAATGACCAGTTTTTTATACATAAAAAACCCTACCTACCGGGACTGGAGACAGAAAGGCTACGGGTACTGGTGCCAGAGAGCTGAGACCTAATCTCTCTCTGCACATGTCAAAATCCAATATAATAATTGCCAACTTTTCAGCGAGTGTACAGAGAAGTACCCCATATCTAATATAATACCCAGTAGAATCTGCTTTTGGAAATACGGAAACGTGGAAATACGGTGTACGCCAAAGCTAGCTGATCGATGGTAGCTGGGCAAGAGATCTGGGCAATACTATAGCCACTAAATAGCTTTCATTTTCATCATGATTCATGATCACTTTTATGTTCTCTCAACATAGTATAAACATTGAAATATCGGTGAAATAAATATTCTTCAATACATTAAAAGTTTCGATATGTTAAGGCATACGTGACATATGTTATGTATCTCACAAGTTATACACATGAATATGACTCATCAAATTCAAACGAATCATAAAGAAAGATACGTATCAACACTTGACAGAAAAGAATTATTTGATTTTAATTTAATTAAATCGAATGTAATTGATGAAGTCAAATTACGAGCCGGCTCACAAATCAAGTCGTACTTCTTTTGTCAATTAATCAAGCCCACAATCAATGTCAAATCCATCCGTAAGCAAAGTTTTGAGAGTCTATAAATACGAGACTCCAAGACAAAGAAATAGGCCAGAAAATCATTCATGCCCAGACGCTGAAACTCTGAAGCTCTCAAGCACTTGAACCCCCAAATAATTAAGAAGACTTGGAAAACCCTCCCCGTTCTTCGTCAAACCCATAAAGAATCATCAAGCACTACTACTTGTGCCAGTTCTTCCATCACCACAAGCCAAATCCTTGTGGCAATTGTTCATCCGAGATCAAGTCATTGCAACCCTCGAATAAACAACACACATCTACACATCTTCGAAGAACGAATCAGAGGAAACTTTGTAAACATAGATTGTAACCCTACATTTACATTAATACAATACAATTATTTTGTATACATGTTCTTGTTTCATTTGCTATAAGAAATTCGTGTTTACGCATCATTTTAGGTTTAGGATTTGCGAGTTCAAGCTGAACTGAAGCAACTAATTTACTTTCCTAGAAAATCCGAAGGAAACAAAAAAAAAAAAAAAAAAAAACTCCCCGACAATTATGCATTTTCTACAAGAGCTCAATCGGAGAAAAAACTCCTAATCTATAGAATTCACTTTTTATGTTCTTAATTATGATATTTCTTCGATGCCCTTTGCTTCTCTGAAACTCTGAAGTGTTAACTTAGAGATTTCTTTTTCTTTTTTTCTAAGTTAAGTGTTTATGTGTTCTTCACACGCAAGCTCCTCAAAACTCGATTTTCTTGTTCGAAAACACTTCAAACATAGTTTTCTTACCCAGTCAGATGGACTAATGGTAACACATATCCTTCTGGAATTTAAACTTTGAACTTTTTTCACACTCATGAAAAATGATAACTCAAACAATTGAGTTTTAAAAATTAAGAAACATTTACTGTAATACCATGTATTAATCCATGTCATTGCGTAAGGAAATAGATGACCACTACTTTAGATCACCGAAAACTCTTCTAACTATTTTCTGTTCACAAGTGCTTACAATATTATTTAAAATAAATAAATCAATCAACATGCTTCAAATAAAATCTTTTCTTAGAAGAAGCATCTTTGCCAAGCAACGAGCCCAGAATCTGGACTAGTAATGGGTTAAATATTGTCCATAGGAAAAATCAAAGGAAAACTAATGAAAAGAGCTTGAAAACTTTGAGTTTTAACGATAATGACAAAATAAAGGGTAAAATGAATAGTATCGGTTTTGACTTTTTAGTGTAAAAATGTGATTTTTCGTTAAAGTGAACAGTATTATGAGTTTTTCGTTAAAACTTCCAAAAATCAACATAATGATCACCCAAATTACACAGAATTGACCGAAAAAGAAACTAAAGAAAAAGAATTACACAAGGACTATAGGATAACCGGCCCATATAAAGCAAACACAATCACAATCGTCCTGGCCCAACACAGTAAATAAAATGGGCCTCAACTAAGCCCACATAGGTAGTAGCTAAAGCCCAATTGACCCAACCCAAAAATTGAAGTTAAAAGCGGAAGAAAAGACTCCCTATTTGTACTTGTAGCGAAGTCACATTGCTTGCTGAAAAAGAAGAAGAAGAAGAAGAAGAAGAGGAAGAACCAGAGAAAGCTAAATGGAGGCACCGAAGACAATCGAGCACCAAATCGGAGGAATCCAGAACGACGCCCTTCGATTCGGACTTCACGGCGTCAAGAGCGACCTCGTCGGCGCTCACCCTCTCGAATCTGCTTTGGAATCGGTATTTTCCCTCTCTCTCTCTTGCTCTCTTTGTCTCTCTTGGTTTTTGTTGTTGTTTGTTTGGAATTGAAGATGTGTGATTAAATTTTGTTTATTTGGGTTTATTTGTTTGTTGGGTTTTAGGCGAAGGTAACGCAGGAGCAGATAAATAGGAAAATCTTGGGTTACACTTATGGAAGTGCGTTTCCATTGAAGATGGATCTCGAAAGGCAAATCCTTTCTCGGTATGAGATTCGTGTTTTTGTCGAATTCTGGCTTCTGTTTGTGCATTGTTGTAATGGGTTTGTCTTAGTTTTTATGATTGAGTAGAAGTAAACGTGTGTTGCTATGTTGAAACGTTAGGGTTTTTTTTCTCTTGTTATGTTTGTCTATTGCGCTTTCTTGTTGCGAAACAAGGTCGCGTGCTTTGTTTGGAATCTTTGTGGGATTGTTGGTTTTGTATCATAAGGGTTGCGAGTGTGAAAGTTTTGCATTAGAGCTTTGTTGGTGGTTCTGTCTGTGTAGATGTTGATCTCTTGTACGGTTTTTGCTCTTAGGTTGTGCCCGGTTTGTGTCGTTATTTCTCACTCATTGACAAAAAACTGGTTCAATCAGGAATAAGATTGTGGGAATTTGCGATCTATGTTCTTTTGTATCCTCTATATTGAGTTGATTATAACTGGCTGGATTATGTCTTTACCATGCCTGATTGCGATCCAAGTTATGCCATATAGATAAGGAAACACCAGTTCCCTATCAATTTGAGGTGCTTTTATACATTTGTTGTGCTAACTTATTAGTTGTGTCAGATATCCAGACCGAGTATGAGTGAAAAAAAGAGCTTACAGAATCTTTTGTCTTTTAGTCTGAGGCTGCTCTGAAGTCCTCACTCCGAAGTTCATATATTGTTGGTTGACCGTTGATGTAATTGTATGTGCTGCTTATTATAGTGACTATGTGTTTTTTTTTATCACATTCAGTAATGGACTTAAAACACCGAGCTGTTTACTTGCTGTAGTTTGTATACTTCAATGCATGCCAGTTTGTGTAGTCCATAAATATATAAAGTGGCATTAAATTAAATCTGAGTTGTACTCTATTCTTTGAAACAACTGCAGATTTCAGAGGCCTGCTGGCCCAATTCCTTCCTCAATGCTGGGTTTGGAGGCGATGACTGGAAAATTGGATGATTTCGGCTTTGAGGATTACCTGAATGGTAAGAAAATACTCTTCATATACAAAGTAGATAATACTGATATCCTAAGCTTTAACTGTTCATGGTTTCTCTTTGAACTATTTGTTTGAACTCCTTCAATGTTTATGATACAATCGGAGCCTTCTTACATTCCTCTTTGTAAAGAACTCACCAATCAGGGTCCTCTTGTAATTCTCTCTTTTAAACATCCATAGTAATCCTCATGAATTTCAAACACGCAGCCTTTTTTTCTTCTAATCAATTGGTTTTTAATTCGGGTTGATGTCATTAGGAATTTTGTATTTTGATTCTTCAAGATGCTAATATTACAATTTTGGATCATTAAGTAACAAGTAATGAGTTAAAACTTATTGAGTGGAAAATCCCCTAGATTTGGCTTATATCGTTCTAATTCCATGCCAATCCTCGGAATTCAGTTGGTATGCATATATTTTAGACCTTGCATTCTTATAGAAGCTAAGTTTAAACGATCATAGTAAAACTTAGGAAGAAAGCAGTTCATATTGTTCTAATTTTCTTTAACCAAGTGAAACGCATACTGTTGCTTCGTTCTTTTAACCCATTAATTGTATGATTGTGTTGGTTTCTTATATGTTTCATTGTGCTAATTGCAGACCCCCGTGAATCTGAAACATTCCGGCCTGTGGACACACATCATGCAATGGAAGTTCGCCTTGGGCTGTCAAAGGGTCCAGTCGCCCCAAGCTTTATGTGATCGTCGTACTTTCTTGCCGAAAGAAGAGGATTAGTATCTTTGCGGTGGATTTATACTTTTATGTCGATGTTGTTCTTAAACTGTGATTGTCTGTCGCGCTGCGTTGAAAGGTCCAGACATTGATATTGTGGAGTTACATTAACTTTGGAGTAGTATTGGGTATCTCCTATCCAGTTACAGTTCCCCTATTTGGTACTTCAATTTTGTTTTGAAAATTTAGCCCCACCTCTTGATCTTGCTAATGCTTATCAGAGGATTGAGCATGCTCATCAAAACATTCTTAAACGAAGTAGTGATATCACTCTCGTTTTTTCTTTCCGCGCTCCTTCCCTTGTTTAATACGTACGATATGAGCACCAGATTGCATGTGTACACTTTTTTCGCTTGATACGAACGACATTAGGGGAGAGAGGATACAAACACATAATCTCGGATGCAAAGGTAAACGCTAGATCTTTGGCTTGTAGAGAGCATTTTGCGGGGAAGCACATGTCAAATGCTTCTCCGGAAAAAACTTCCAAGTGTTTTTTTTTACAAAAAGCACTTGGAATTTTAGTTTATGGTAAAAACATATTTTTTTTTAACAAAAGTTATTATCAACACTAAGGGGTGGGAAAGTGAGTTAAGTCTCACATTGGGCTAGCAATAATGTGTTTCAAATTCACATTTAGTGAAAATAGAATCTAAAACTTTTCATTTACAAGTGAAGAGAAATACTACTACAATGTAATATTTAATAGCTATAGTAAAAAACAAAAAACGTTATTAAGCATAAATGCTTACGACACTGGTCCTAAACGCAGCCCTTAATATGAATGTCATTCGCGCTACAAAAGTCACTAAACTTTACTCTTTTATGTTATAAATGTTACGATCTAGTAGTATCAATTTAAACGTAGATTGTTTCGGCAGTCACATAAGTGTTAAAAAAAAAAAAAAAAAAAAAAGAATAATATTTTGAGCATCTTGTTCTGTCGTCGTCAATGGTCCTGTGTGCATAATGCTTACTACTTTCAAACAAAATTCTAATAAAACATGTAAGAGAAATTTTATTCGAACTCATATAACCTCTTTTTATATACAACTTAAATTTTAAATGTTAATTATCTTTTTACTCTAGTACATAATTACCATCAAGTACAAAATAAATTTAATAATACAATTAAAATTTATCAATAAACCCAAACAAACACCAAAGCGCAAACAAATCAACAACAGTAGCAATGGGAGATGCCATGGTGCTAAGATCGTCCAGGAGAAGTGCCATTGTGCTGAGGTCAAACAAATCAAATGACATGCAAGAGAGATGCCATAGTGCTGAGATCGTCCAGGATATATATCATAGTATAATTTCCCTTGATATATCAGGCGGAACAACCATGAATTGTTTAAGTTGCAAAAGTCGAGGGCTTGGAAATCTTGAGGCAGTTGGAGCTTTGAAGAGAATAATTATCTCTTTGATCCAACTCACCATCACAAACACATATGATATATCCTCCTACCTTTATTTTGATCCATGCATGCATGCGGTAAATCATACTAAAAAATATGAAGTTTCATCCAACATAATACATCCTAAAGATAAATATTCATCCTTAAAAATAGTTGGTTAAATCTTGTGCGTAATTGATAGATAATCATAACCAGTGAAAGGACTTCAACTTAAACCAAAGCGGGAAGAAAAATCAAAATAAAGAAACAATAGCATTTAGAATTCAAATTCATATCATTTGAAACAAACAAAAAAACCCTTAAACTAGTGCGACAAACTCTTTTGCAATATGATTGGTTGGACAATTATATTGTTTGGATTAAGAATTTGTCAACTTTTTCATAGTCCTAATTTGAAATGGACTTCTCTTTGCAAATTTTGGGTTTTTATTTCTAAATGAGTGCACGGATAAATCTACAAATTTATTTGGATTTGTGAGGGTAATTTAGGTAGTAAATATGAGTTTAAAGAGATATTGATAGTTTAATTAAAGTTGATATAGATGAAAAGAGTATGTTAGGTGTGGAAAGAAGTTAAATGGATTTAAATAAAATTTCCCAACATCAAAAGCACAGTTACGAAGGGAAATTCCCACTTCGTTTTCACACGCTCTGCCTGCTTCCCGTCTTCTCCCCGCAAAACCCTCACTCTACGCCCCCAATGGACCCTCGCCGGCCCCCGCGCACGGTCAGCGACCCCAAGGTCCGACAAGTCGGCTTCTTCGCCTCGCCCGAGCCCATAGCCTACTCCTCCTCTCCTCCCGTCTCCGGCATCTCCCCTTCCGGTAACTCCCTTTCTCCGGTAATGATCCCCCCACCGCGTCACTCCTCCGACAACACTCGTCCGGTTCTTTTCCCAGCCTCCTCGGCCCGTCAAGAGTCCATACTCGCCGGGAGTTACAACAACTCTTCTGAGTTCTTCCCCGCCTCGCCTCCTACTGCTTCGTCGTCCTGCGGAATTGTGATGGGAAATGGCGAGTTCCTAAACGACGCCGTCATGTCACCGGGTAGAGCATTCAGAGGGGTAAGAACCGCTGCCGGTTTGACGGCGTCATCTTCGTTTCCTGGTGGAGGGTTCGATCTGACGGCTGCCGTGAAGGCGAGTAGTGTCCCCGCGAGTGGGTTGATGACGGTCTCCGTGGTCAAGATGCCTTCTGGGATTTCTGGTACTTGCTGATTGCTGTTCGTTTGCTTTGGTTGATTAGGGGTTTTGGGTTTAGCTCAAGCATTTTAGGATTGCAAAATTTGAAGAAACAAAGATTGAAACTTTGCAGAGAAAGATGTTGATGCGTCAGTGGAAGTGCAAAGCGAGCGAGCTGCAAATTCGAAGCCACTGAAGGAGAAAACCACGAAAGCCGAAAGGCGGGCTGTTCAGGAAGCTCAACGAGCAGCTAAGGCTGCCGCAAAAGGTATGGCTTTTCTAGGCTTTTACTTATTCACAAGTGTTTTTAACAGAAATGTAATTGAATTCAAAGAATTCGAATTTCTTATATTGATTATGAATGTGTTCCTTGCATTGCATTGTGTTATTAGCTGAAGGAGGTAAAACACCTTCTGTTGCTGCTTCTGCTTCGGTAGCAGCAAATGTGAAACTGCCTAAAGCCACGAAGCTCGTGTCACAATCATCTGTGGCGATATCTGAGAAGAAGGGCGGTGGCGGAGGTGGTGGCAGTGAACATCTGCCGGAGAAAGAGAGGAAGAAAGAAGTTCCTCATCCGCGAATGCAATATGATGATACAAGTCGTGTGGAGAAGGCGAAAAGGCGTTCAGTGGTCAAGCAAACTGAGGCCAGGAACAGGGTTGAGTTGTTCAGGCATTTGCCTCAATACGAGCATGGAACTCAGCTTCCTGATCTCGAGTCTAAGTTTTTCCAACTTGATCCTGTGCATCCTGCTGTTTATAAGGTATTTAGATGCTTATGTCAGCATGTTATGGTTTGAGTCTTTTGCTCGATGAGTCGAGAGGTTAATGTGATTATGAAAGAGATAATGGTTCTATCTAATTGTAGCTTTCTGTACGGGTGTCAGGTTGGCTTACAGTATTTATCAGGAGATATATCGGGTGGCAATGCTCGTTGTATTGCCATGCTTTTGGCATTTCAGGAAGCCATTAAAGACTATTCAACACCACCAGAGAAAAACCTCAGTAGGGATTTGACAGCAAAAATAAGTAGTTACGTTTCATTTTTTAGTGAGTGCAGGCCGCTTTCAATCACCATGGGGAATGCAATTCGGTTTCTAAAGAGCCGAATTGCCAAGCTACCTTTGACTATGACCGAGTCGGAAGCAAAAGCATCTCTCCAGTCAGATATTGAACGGTTCATATCCGAGAAGATCATACTTGCTGATAAAGTAATAGTCAAGCATGCAGTTAGCAAAATCAGGGATGGTGATGTTCTTCTAACGTACGGATCATCCTCTGCAGTTGAAATGTTGCTTTTACATGCCCATGAGCTTGGCAAACAGTTTCGTGTTGTGGTGGTAGACTCTTTTCCAAAGCTTGAAGGACAGCATTTACTTCGTAGGTTGGTGGGAAAAGGCCTCAGCTGTACGTACACTCATATAAATGCTGCTTCATATATAATGCATGAAGTTACTCGAGTTTTTCTAGGTGCTTCTTCAGTGCTGTCTAATGGAACAGTTTACTCAAGGGTTGGCACTGCTTGTGTTGCTATGGTAGCACATGCATTCCGTGTACCGGTATTAGTATGTTGTGAGGCATATAAATTTCACGAAAGGGTACAACTTGATTCCATCTGCTGTAACGAGCTCGGTATGCATCCTAGCCATTAATTTGTGTGATCGTTGTGACAGTTTATGATAACTTCATGCTCTGTTTGCTTGATTCTCAGGTAATTGCTCCACTTCTTGCAGGTGATCCCGATGTCATTTTAAAGGTTCCTGGTAGAAAGGAAGGCAATCCTTTGGATGGACACACAAATTGTGAAAATATTCAACCTCTGAATTTGATGTAAAGTGTTCATAAATTTATTGTTCTGTGCTATCACATTTCTTGGCTTTAATCTACCCGGACTAACTGTGCACTCCTGTTTTAACTTGTTATTGGCAGTTATGATGCACTCCCTTCAGATTACATTTCAATGATAATCACGGATTACGGCATGGTAAATCCTTGTCTTCTTCAATTAATTGTTGCAATAACTTAAAGAGCAGACAATGTTTCGCATTCCTTATGCTCTAATTCTGAACTTGCAGTTATTACGACTAATTGTTTATTCTCAGTTTTAAACCTTTATCTCGGAAAAGAGTGATGACTCGATGTTTTCGTGCTTCTATTAGGTTCCACCCACAAGTGTGCCCGTCATTGTGCGCGAATACAGAAGAGAACACTTGTGGATGTGATCATTTAAAAGCGCCCTCCCGGAAATGGATCATATGATTCAGCGAGGTTTCTCCGAAATTTTGTGTGGATGCTAGTATCAGTGGATTCAGAATCAGCAGCCTTTAACATACAAGAAGAGACCAGAGCCTGAAGTTCATTTTTTTAGCGCTTGAGACACAAGTTTTTCTTTTCGCCGTACAGTGAAACACAACTTACACAAATCAGATGTTTTAAACTTATGTTACACAGGTTTTGGATGATTTAATCGCAGTATCACGTTGTTAGCCGTTTGGAAGTGCCATGTTTTCTCTCTTCTCGTAAAAACGCCATTTGCACTCCTCTATGCAATAAATTT